GGGGGGGAAGGTGGGATTTGGGGGGGAAGGTGGGATTTGGGGGGGAAGCTGGGATCTGGGGTGGGGGGTTGGCTGTGGCTCTCCAGGGTTTGCTGTGGGACCCCCCCGGCTTTCCTGGGACGTGGTGAGCGACACCCGGGGGTGCTCGGGGGGTGCCAGCCCGTATCCCACCCCTCTCCCAGCTGGAGCAATCCCTGCGCACGGAGGCGGGAGAGCGGGAAGCGGCCGAGAGCCGGAGCCTGGCCCAGCACAACATCGAGCTCCGGAGGCTCCTGGAGGAGGAACAAGCCGCCTACAAGCGGAAGCTCCAGGCCTACCAGGAGGGGCAGCAGAGACAGGCCCAGCTCGTGCAGAAGCTCCAGGCCAAGGTAAATCCTTCCCGGGGGGAGCAGGGACGGTCTGGGAGCCCCCCCGGGTGTCACCCCCCCGTCCCCCCGCAGGTGCTGCAGTACAAGAAGAAATGTGGGGAAGTGGAGCAGCAGCTGCTGGAGAAGGCGACGGAGCTGGAGCAGGAGAGGCTGACGGTGAGGGAGGGGCCCGGGGGGTCTCCCGCCCCGAACCCCCCCAAATCGAGGTGGTGGCGAGCGGGATGTTCCCACAGATCCAGCTGGATGCCAGCGGCTCCCAGCCGGAGGAGGAGAGCAGCAACGAGCTGGAGAACGCCCTGATCCGGCTGGAAGAGGAGCAGCAGAGGTGAGTGGGATCCCTGGAGGGATGGGGGGATTCCCGGGAGGGGGATGCTCCAGACACGGTGATCCCCCAACCCAGGAGGTGAGTGGGATCCTTGGGGAGGTTTGGGGATTCCCAGGAGGGGGATCTCCCCCATCCCAGGAGCAGCAGAGGTGAGTGGGATCCCCAGGAAGGTGTGGGGATTCCCAGGAGGGGTATCCCCTCCATTCCCTCCATCCCAGGAGCAGCAGAGGTAAGCGGGATCCCTGGGGAAGATGTGGGAGTTCCCGGGAGGACGTTCCATCCATCCATCCATCCCCTCCCTCCCCATCCCAGGAGCAGCAGAGTGGGGGTCCCTGGGGAGGTGTGGGCATTCCCGGTGGGATGCTCCATGTGCCCCTGTGTCCCCCTCCCAGGAGCAGCAGCCTGGTGCAGGTGAACTCGATGCTGCGGGAGCAGCTGGAACAGGCCAACGTGGCCAACGCGGCGCTGAGCGAGGACATCCGGAAGCTCACGGCGGACTGGGCACGGAGCAGAGATGAGCTGGAGCAGAGGGAGGCGGAGTGGAGGCGCGAGGAGGAGGTCTGGGGGGCCCTGGAATGCGGGGGGAGGCAGGGATCCGTCAGGGAGGGCTGTGAGGCAGAGGGATGTGGCTTGGAAAGGGATGCGGGATCACGGAGAGGGATGGAGGGTCTTGTGGGACGTTCCATTTGGGAGCGCAGGGGATGTGGCACGTGATGGGAAGGGGATATAATGCAGGGATGTATCATGGAAAGGGATGCAGGATCACTGGGAGGGATGTGGGACCACGGGGGATGTGGCAAGGAAAATTTGGGGGTGCAGGGGAGGTGGCACGTGATGGAAAGGGAATATGAGTCAGAGGGAAGCATCATGGAAAGTCTCCAGGATCACCAGGAAGGATGCAGGGTCATGTGGGATGTTACATAGAGAAGAATTTGGGAGTGCAGGGGATGTGGCTTGTGATGGGAAGGGGATATAATGCAGGGATGCCTCATGGAAAGGGATGCAGGACCAGCAGGAGGGATGTGGGACCACGGGGGCTGTGACATGGAAGGGGATGCAGGAGCACCAGGAGGGGTACAGGACTATGGAAGATGTTGCATGGAGAAGACTTTGGGAGTGCAGGGGATGTGGCTTGTGGTGGGAAGGGAATATGAGTCAGAGGGAAGCACCATGGAAAGTCTCCAGGACCACCAGGAGTGATGCAGGGTCATGGGGGATGTTGCCTGGAGAAGAACTTGGGGATGTGACGTGTGATGGGAAGGGGCTGTGAGGCAGGAGGATGCAGGGATGCACCATGGAAAATGATACAGGAGCACTAAGAGGCATGTGGGGCCACAGGGAATGCTGCACAGAGATGGATTTGGGGGTACAGGGCACGTGGGACACGATGGGGAGGGGGTGCCAGGCAGAGGGATGTGCCCCCATCCCTCTCTGTGCCAGAAGGAATTGGGGCGGGGGGGCGGTGCAGCACCGCGGGGTGATGGGCGTGGCCAGGGGGATATTCGGGAATTTGGGTAGCTTGGTGGGTCTCCCAGCGGGCGCTGACCCCCCTCCACCCCCCCGCAGTCCTTCAACGCCTACTTCAGCACGGAGCACAGCCGGCTCCTCACCCTCTGGAGGCAGGTGGTGGCTCTGCGGCGGCACTTCGGGGACATGAAATCCAGCACCGAGAGGTCAGCGGGGGATCCCGGCCGGGGGGGATCCCTGGGGGTTCCCGAGGGCCTCCGGCTGCCCCCCCCGCATCTCCCCCCGCAGGGACCTGTCGGAGCTGGGCCACGAGGTTTCCCGGGCGGGCCGCGCCGCCCACGCCGCCTGCCTGGCCCTGGGGGCCAACCTGCGCCTGGCCGAGAGCCAGGCGGGAGCGGCGCGGGAGCGGCGGGAGCTGCGCCTGGCACAGCTGGAGGAGCAGCTGGCGGCGAGGGCACGGGATGCCGACCTGGAGAAATCCGCCCTGGGAGCCAAGTAGGGAGGGTCCGGGGGGGCTCGGGGGGTTCTGGGGGTGGCTGCGGGGACCGCGGCGCTTCCCGGCACTTCCCGGCGTGTGCCGCAGGCTGGCCGAGCTGACGGCGGCGCTGGAGCGGCGGCGGGGCGAGGACGAGGAGAGGGAGCGGGCGGTGCAGGCGCTGACCCTGCAGCTGCGGGAGCTGGTGGGTGCGGCTCGGGGGCACTGGGCTCGGGGGGTGATCCGGGACCGGCCCCTGATGCCCGGGGGTGTTTCCAGGAGGCCGCGCGTGCCCGGGATCCGCCGCCGGAGGAGGTGCAGGCGCTGCGCTCGGAGCTGGAGCTGCTCCGCCACACCCTGCACGACGTCACCCAGGTGCTGGGGACAGCCCGGCCCTGCCTGCGTTTCCCCTTTCCCACCTCAGTTTCCTTATCCCTTGACTCAGTTTCCCCTTCCTCCCCTGTCCCATTCTCCCCTTCCTTCCCTTCCTCGGTTTCCCTTTCCTCCCTTGCCTCAGTTTCCCCCTTCCTTGACTCAGTTTCCCCTTTCCCATCTCAGTTTTTTCCCATCTCTTGACTCTGTATCCCCCTTCCTCAGTTTCTGCTTTTCTTGACACAACTTCCCCTTTCCTTCACTTGGCTTCCCCTTCCTTCCCCACATCAGTTTCCCCTTTCCCATCTCAGCTTCCTCATCCCATGACTCCATTTCCCTTTCTCTGCTTGAGTTTTGCTTCCCTTGACTCAGTTCCCCCTTTTCTGCCTCAGTTTTCCCTTTCCCACCTCTGTTTCCCCTTCCCTTGATTCCGTTTCCCTTTTCTCATTTCAGTTCCCCCTTTCCCGCCTCAGTTCCCCCTTTCCCGCCCCAGTTTTCGCTTTCCCACCTCTGTTTCCCCTTCCCTTGATTCCGTATCTCTTTACCTTTTCTCATTTCATTTCCCCATTTCCCGCCTCGGTTTCCCCTTTCCCGCCTCGGTTTCCCCTTTCCCG